ATAACAAATTGGAAGAAAAATAGGAATTTTATTTCATTGAAATTTGAATGATACAAATTACAAATACAATGATTGAATCATTGGATACTTGGATGAATGAAATATGAAAATGGAATAAATTAATAAAATATAAAAAATACAATATAGTTACAAATTGAAAATACAAAATTACATTGTTAAAAAAATTCAAAAAATATATATCAAATAAATTAAAATAATTTGAAAAAATAAAAAATTTTGTACAACTAGTCAACTTCATGAATCATGACTTTCATCATCTACTTTAGGTGAAATATTCGATGTAGTATCATGCCCTCCTTTGTCTTGTAATCTATCTTCTGCATCCTTGAAGCAGATGCACAACTCTATGCTTTTATCGTTCATGCAGCTTCTCTTGTCATTCAGCACCTTGGTACCTGCACTAAAACAAGACTCTGATGGAATTGTAGACACCAAAGGGGTTAGTAGATCACGTGCCATGGCGGTGAGAACTGGATAATTTTTTGAATGTTCACTCCACCAAGCTAAAATATCAAAATTATTTGTTCCCTCACCTAAATTATAAAAATTTGCTTATAAATAAAAATTAAGTTTAGCAAATGAACTTGTTGTAGAAGTACTAGATTTCTGCCTTCTACTTATTAAATAAAAAAGTTTTTCTCTTCTACTACTGGGCTCAAGATCAAAAGTAGAAGATGATGTACAAGTTGTAGGAATATAACCTGATGTCGCGTGATCCGATCACTCCTAGCTGACACTCATGTGGCTCCTGGAAGGCACCTGAGATGAAGGAAAAGAAGAAGGATTCCCGGGGGCTTGCCCAAAGGGGATACTCCGATGCTTAAGTTAGTACTCTGTAGGAGAAGCAAAGAAGGGGCGAAGGCTAAGAGTGAAGATAACGCGTTCTCACTATACTCGAGAGATTAGGAGTCTCAAGAAGAAGTTTCTCTTTTGCCCTAAGGGCTTTTTAACGGGGCGCTCATGCCAGGTCGGGCGTAACCGCCACTGAGCTTCTGCCAGAGCCGTTACCCGCCAGGGCCGCGTAGGGGGCCGTTGTGACGTACTTCTTCCCTGGGTGAGTGACACGTCTCCAAAGTGGTAGGCACGCCTTCGCCTGCTGAGAGACGTGGACGCAGACTGTCAAAAGGATGGGGACTACGCCGTCAGTAAGGGATATGGTGCAGTTTGATCGATACAACCTGTTAGATAGAAGCTTCCTGAGGAGCGCCCATGCGGCTCATTCGCGAGCTATTTTGTAGCGAGCTTGGAACACTCCATGTTTTTCCTTAGTAGAATTGGTCCTTGGGATGACTTGTCTGCTTGGGAGCTCGGACGAGCTAATAACTTCAGCTCGCGAGCTAAAGATGCCTTGGAGTATCTCTTCAAAGGTAGCTCGGGAAACCCGGAGCTCGTGTTGTGGCGAGCTTCTCCTTTTGTGAGCTACTTTATGGGCCCGTCACTTGGTCGCACCAGGCTACAACGCTGAGCTGTCGCTCGTGCTGAGTCAGTGTCCATGTGTCACCGTTTCATAGGTTGGGTCAAATCGTCCTCCATCATAACCTATACATTTCAAATAACAAATTATTAATTTCTTCTTTATATTTCCTATTTCAATATTTATGTTTTAACAATATGATTCAAGTAAAATATCTAAACTATCTTTCCTAATCCTAGGGTCTAATATTGTAGCTAAACAATAAAGGGAAGCAATGTTCTCCCAATATTTTTTAATTTTATTTTCCATTATTTCAACAATACATTGAAATTGTGGATTATTTCTATATTTTTCAAAACAATCACTAATTACCATTAATTGATAAGGTAAATTACAACTAGTTGGATAATAAATTCCTGATAATTCATTAGTTACACCATAAAAATGTTCTAAGAAATCTCTTACACAGACGGTCATTTCCCAGACTTCCTCAAATATAATATCATTAGGCATTTTTTATTTATAAAAATTAGTAAGAATTTTATTTATGAGAAATACAACTTTCTAACATAGCTGATGCTGCGCAATCCGGGCACTCCTAACTGGCAGCTAACTGGCTCATCGCTGGTGGCGGATGGTACCTGAGAAGAGAGCGGTGAAGGATTCCCGGGGGACTTGCCCAGTGGGAATACTCCGATGCTTAAGTTAGAATGCTGGAGAAAGTAGTAAAGAGTGTAAAGAAGGCTAAGAGTGTAGGTCACGCTAGATCACTAAGTTAGCTCGAGAGAAAGTTTGAGATATTCAAGATAATATATTAGATATTCGAGAGAGAGAGCCCTTCTCTTCGACTAGGGGGCTCTTATATATGAGCGTTCTTGTCAAATCAGGCATAACCGCCACCGGACCTCTGTCGTAGCCGTTATCCGCTAGGGTTGTGTAGGTAACCATTGCAGTGTACTACCCAATCAGATGAGTGACATGTCCCGGAAGGACAGACACGCCACCACTTGTCAAGAGACGTGGGCCAGACTTATCGGGCCGGCAGGGACTGCGCTGTCGGTCAGGAGACGTGGCACAGTTTGACGGGTACGGTCTTGTTAGATAGAAGCTTCCTGAAAACATCGCATCGCTTAGTAGCGAGCTGCCCTGTAGCGAGCTATCCTGTTGCAAGCTACCTTGTTGCGAGTTCCTGAGGGTATTGTGAGGTGATTCCTCTTGAAATGGCCCTTGAGGTAGTTTTTTCTGCCTAAGTATTGGAGCGAGCTGGTTATCCTAGCTTGCGAGCTGGGTTAGACTTGTCTTGGAGTATTCCCTTTTAGTACATCGGGGGTTCTTGAGCTCGCGCTATAGCAAGCTCACCCTATGGCGAGTTGTGGCATAGCGAGCTGTCCTGCGGGCTCGTTACTTAGTCATGGTGAGGCCGTTGTGCTGAGCTATTACTTGTGCTGAGTCATGTCCACATGTCATCGTCTCAAGGGGTCGGGTCAAATCACCCTCCATCAATTGCCCCCCACTCCTCAGGCTAAGGGTGCTACCTTAGCGTGAGGAGTTCATGAAGTGTGACAGGTGGATTTGACCCAAAGTTCAAACTTGATTGACTGATCGCATTAAATGCGCGCACAGAAGTCAGGGGGTCTCTAGACCTTTTGAATGCCAAGGAGAACATGCAGAAGCAACTCTTAGTTTCGAAAGGCGTACAGCCATCATTACCTTAATCATGGGAGTCGTGCAGATAGTCACATTTCAGTTTTAGAAGTCGTGGGGTCAGCTTGACTACGAACCGTCAGATCTGTCTCAGTCCAAGCCGTCGATTTGAGGGCATAGTGGCTATAAATAGGAAGGCCCCAAACCTCACTTTTTTTACGCTAACTTGCCTTGTCTTTGGATTCTGAGGTCGCGTCTCCATTTAGCTACCCGAGCTCTTTTCCCGTTCACACCGTCTCTTCTTTTCTGGTGAGTCTTATCATCTTGTCAATATGTCTGGATATCCGTACCACGTCTATTCCCGGAACGGTAACCAGGATGACACCCCCTCGAGCTCAAGGAGAGCTTGGGGGCAGGCTCTGGAAGCTTGGGAGGCCTCGGGCGAAACTGCTTCTACCTCTCGGGGCAGGGAGCCTGACAGCTTCGGTCCCTCCTCTATGTTGATGGAGAGACTTAGATCTTTAGTTCTTCATTTTAACCTTCCCAGAGACCTCATCTACAGTCTCCCTTTTGGTAACTTTCCCTGGAGCTTGGTCCCAACGAGATAGTAATCTTTCAGGAACAGCTCGAGGCTGGCTTGCGTCTTCCTCTACATCCTCTGATAGTGGAGGTTTTGAACCATTTCAACGTCACCATTAACCAGCTTCACCCCAACTCTATTCGAAATGTAGTTGGGACTATTTCTCTGTTTTGTGAGTACTGTCTTCCCCTCAATCTTGACATCCTCTCCACCATCTTCTGCATCAAGAATGCTTCTCCCGGAGCGCCTCCATAGAGGCGTTTCTGGCTAAATTCTGGTGGTTCCCGGGTGCCAGAACCCGGTTTTTTAAATCTCTTTCTTGGGCAGTTGTGCCCTTTTTACTTCTTGTTGAACTCTTCCCGGGCTGTTTAAGCTCGATTTTCATTTATAAATTAGTAATGGAATTTTTCTTTTTCTGCTAAGTATGGTGTGCTCTTTATTATCTGCCAAAGCGATTTCATCACTCGAACTGTTAGAGCTACATACCCGAAGTAGGATTTTTCGGTAGTTGTTACCCCGAGCTATCCCTTAATGCTTGAGGTACTTTTATAGTATACCCCGAAGTAATTACCTTGTATGCCCGAACTGTATGTTCGTAGGTTGTTCCTTGTCAGGTTCAGCCAATATACTGAGACCAGCTATGCTTCATAGGGTTCAGACTCGAGCTACCTACGCCTCTGATACTTAATACTTTGCCTTTACTAGTGAAGTGGCTAAGTCTTCCATTCTGTCGAGGTCTTAGTTAGCTCGGTGTTTTAGCCTATGGCTGAGGGAGTGACTTATAGTCCACTCTTGGAGTTCGCCCATGCCATGGAGGCGACTGAGTCTCATTGCACCGAGGTCGTGTTAGCTCGGCATTTTGGCCCTTAGGCTCTAAGAGTGACTCGTGGTCTACTCAGTAGTTCGCCCATGCCATAGAGGCGACTGGTCTTATTGCGCCGAGGT